CGGGGAGGAGCCGCCGGGCTCCGGGCCACTTAGCTCGGGCTGCTGCGGGCCGCCGGCGAGCCGGAGTTGCGTGCTCTTTCCCAGGCGCTCCCGCTCTTTCTGCTTTCTTCCCTCCCCCGGCTCTTCCCACCGCCTCACCCTGCCCACCTTCCCGGCTGGGACTACACGCTGGGCGCCCAGACCGTGGGACCGGTGAGTGCCACTCCCCGCCTAGATCCGAAGCCCTTCCCGGCCCGAGGGGTTAGGGAGGCCAGGGCCTCGCAGAGCTAAAGTGTGAAGGAGGCACCTCACCTTCTAATTCAGTATTTCTCTTTCGACCCTCTTGTGACCTCAGGAGGAGGTAGCACAGCTTTTGCCCGGGACAAGGACCTTCACGGTCACTTTCCAGCTTGCCAGCAGGGGGCCACAAGAGGTTGTTTCTGGCTAATCGGGACTGGACTTCTGTTCCTTTCCTTGTCTTTACCCAGGGACAGAGTGAGAGGCGTAAGGAAGGCGCCCTTGACTAGGGTCACATCCACCTTCCCGGGAAGGACATATTCTCTCAGTGCCAGGTGCTTCGAGTGGTGGCATCCCAGCCCTGGGCACCGCTGGCGCGTTGCCAATGCTATAAGTGCGGGTTCCCGCCAGGAATCTGAAGCAAAGAGGGTTGGACCCTCCTCCCCCCCAAGCCCCTAACTCATCTATTTCCCTCATAGTCTTCCGACTGCCCTTCCTGTCAGAAGAGAAACTGAAGCAGAGGTGGAGGAGGAGGGGGTTGTGATCGGGTTGCCACTTGCTTGGACTTGGTCTTTTACCTATTCATTACTCCCTTCTGTCTACTGTGGTCACGCCCTTTCCAGAAATTCGTGGTGGTAACCGCGAGAGGAGAGAGAGGAGAGAGCCGGGAGAACTGGAGGAAACTGCTCTGATCTGACTTGGCTTCAAACGGGAGCTGACGCTGCACGGTAATAAGCTCTCTCACAGGTACTTAACCACACGGGCCATAATTTTACACTTCGTGGTATGGTAGTATACCATTGGCAATTGTGTGAAAATGAGAGTTAGAGAGCTCCTGCGACGTGTCCTAGGAGGGTTGTGAGCTTTGCATTCTAACAACGCTGTTGTGGTCTCCTGGTTGGCCTTCACAGAGTGAACTTCCAGCTGAGTCTCCAGAGACCCTCGGGTGATGGGGTACAGTGACCGTGTCTAGTCCAGTCCTGATACCCTTTTCTGTTTGAATTTTCCCTCTCCCTGTTTCCATGGAAGTCTCTGGTCCTGATTCTTTAAAGACTAGGTGTGGTCAGAGCCTCAAAAAGCCTGTAGCAGGGTTCATCCATCAGCCCATATTTGATGTCCCTCATCCTCGTCCCTCTTTGCAAGGCAGGGACTGAGGCCTGGAAAAGCCCAAGTCTGAGTGTGGCCACTTTTCAGATCCTGCCCTCAGGCTGCTCCTCCTTTCGGGTGGGTTCTTCTCTCCTGCTCTCACCTCGATTGTTTGAGACAAGGTCTTACTTACAGTGTAGCCCAGACAGGCCTCAAACTGAGATCCTCCTGCCTCAGCCTCCTGGGTGTTCCCAATCTCAATCACACCTTTTGGGCAGTGGACCTTCCATGCCTGATCAGTGGCCCCAAATGGGTTATCAACTCTATAGGTAATGCTAATATTCATACTCAGTGACAATTAGATTTGTACTGTGGTTTCAAACCTTGACCTCATTGACCTTCACAACCTTTCGAAATAAGGCAGATTAACTATCCCTATTTTCAAGGTGAGGATTTGGGGTGATAGGGTTGCCCTGGGGTCACATACCCATCCAGTGACTGAACTGATTCCCTTCTCATACAACAGCTTCCCAGGAGCATCAGGAGTTGACTCCGGGCCCGTTCTCCATCAGCTGCTGACTGCGTTTACATAGGGCATTTCTGTCTAGTGGTGATGATAGAGCCAAGGTTATTTCTCCCCAGTGTCTTCATTCTCCACGACGTACTGAAGCAGAACATTTTGCAACCCCAGCCCATCACTTACTTACCTTAAAACTGCCCTTGGCCTTTTTCTGTAAGGGAAACGCCAGAAGGCATCCTAGGTCATCTCTGGAGGCTCTCATCAAAGTTTCCTAACTTCTTGATTAGCAAGGGAAAGCACAGACTCTCCCTCTCTGCCCAGGCCTGCCTGATTCTCTTTTGGGTGCCTCCTGCTTGGTGGGAGGAGTAGGAGTGAGTCACCCCAGAGAAGCCATCACCTGTGTGGCCCTTGTCTTCCGTCTCACGCTACAGGTTCCAAGATGACTTGGCTGAGATTCCGACACACCTGAGTCTGCTGGAGTGATGAGCTCATGACCAGGTTGATAGACAGTACTGCTTGTGTCTGTGACACAGCTCTGGCTCCCCACGCTAAAGCACGATGCTCCAGCAGGTAAACCCTCAACTGATGTGATCCAGAGCAGAGACACTTTCCTTTGTGTCTTTCTGAATGAAGGACTCCAGTGTTCACAGCTAGAAGGACAGGAAAGACCCTTTCTTCAGAGTCATTCCAGCACTCTTCCTGATCACCTGACTTGAATGTCTCTCTTTTTGTGGCTTTGTGCTCTTTTCCTTGGAGTGCATAAGGTAGGCTAGGTAAAGGAATTCAGGTCACTTTGATGACCTTAAGTGGGGTACATCCCTTAGAAGTCCCTGCCAGGGTGTTTTATTGAATCACAGTGGAAATTTGGGGCTTCCAAGAATGTTCATCGAAGCTAAGCCCTTAAGAATAATAAACAATTAGTCAAGTTAGCTGGGCGTGGTGGCACACACCTTTAGTCCTAGCAGTTGTGAGGGCAAATGGATAAGAGTTCAAGGCCAGCCTGGTCTGCGGGTTGAGTTCTGGGACAGCTGGGGCTGTAGCAAGAGAGAAAGCTTGTCTTAAAACAAACAAACAAAAAAGCCAAGTGGAGAAGGAACTTCAGCAGTCCCGACAAAAGGTGTCTGCCTGTGAGAAATGCAAGGGAAGGCAGTTTACGTGGGAGTCCAACATTCTACCTCTGAAAAGGCTAGTATCCTTGGCCTGCAAGGTAGGGACTACCCTTCACTGTAGAACTCTTCCTCATAAACATAGCATCCTTTATAAGTAGCTCAGATGCAGAGAGCAAAAATTTGCTGGAATTTGATTTTCCTAAATTCTGTCCCACAATAAGGGCTCAGGGAGTTTGTGCTCTAGCCAGGATAACCAAGGTAGAACTTATCAGTCTGAAGAAAGCCATGACAGATGTGACTAGACCATCCTGCTGTTTTCTAGGAAAGGACTTGAAGGGTACAGAAGAGCAGGCAGGACAGTTGTCTGCTCTGGGTTGTTGTATTTCCTTTCTTCCTTCCTTCCTTTCAGTCCTTGTTATATAGCAGGCACTACATTTGAATATTTTGTTTCATCTTCACAGTGCAGTGAAAAAAAAATACACTTCACAATGCAGTGCACCCATTTTGGAGATAAGACTCAAACAAGTTAAATGGCTGACTCAAGGTCACATTCATTATCAGGAATTTGGAAAAATAAAGAAAGGCAATCAAAAGTGATATTGAGGTTATCTAGTAATACTATCTGAACATAACATTTTTAAAACTGTTTAGACTTTTTTGCCCTAATTTTTTTTCTATTCTTTTCTCTTTTTTGGTTTTTCAAGACAGGGTTTCTCTGTGTAGCTCTGGCTGTCCTGAAACTAGCTCTGTAGACCAGGCTGGCCCCAAACTCAGACTTACCTGCCTCTGCCTCCTGAGTGCTGGGATTAAAGGCACACATTATCACACCCTAGCTTTTTTTTTTTTTTGAGGTTTTTCTGAGTAGCCCAGGCTAGGCTTGAATTCATGGGAGTTCCCCACTTCTCCTGAGTGCTGGGATTACAGATGTGTACCACCATACCCAGCAATAACTACTTTTTTGGAAGGATATTTTACATGCCTTCCTGTTTATATATATATTTATGAGTACCTAAGAGGTAGGCACAATCACCATTCCCATTTTAGTGTTAGGAAAATTGAGATAAAGAGAGATTAAAAAACTCAAATAAGATTGTACAAGAATAATGGTGGAGTCAGGATCCAAACCTGGATAGCCTAGATTCCATTTCCACTCTATTCATCTGTAACACTGGGAATTGAACTGGGGTCTCACCTTTGGTAGGCAAACACCCACGAAACTATATCTCCTGCCTTTTACTTTTTATTTTGAGACCAGAGTCTTAAATTGGCGAGGCTGGCCTTGCACTTAACAATCCTCCTGCCTCAGGAAAGAGTCCTTCTACCAGGCTCAGTACAATCTAGCTTTCTTTATTGTTTTTTTCTTTTCAAGACAGGGTTTCTCTGTGTAGCCCTGGTTGTCCTGGAACTAAGTCTGTAGACCAGTCTAGCCTCGAACTCCCAGAGATTCACCTGCCTCTGCCTGAGTGTTGGGATTAAAGTTGTGCACCACCACCATCCAGCATAATCTAGCTTTCTGACCCAAGCTCTTTGGTACTATACTCAACTCCCAGTTGAATCAAAACTGTTCCTAAATTGCAGCTGGTTTTGTAAGTAGTATCTTTCTTCTTTCCTTTCCTTTCCTTTCCTTTCCTTTCCTTTCCTTTCCTTTCCTTTCCTTTCTCCT